TTTTTGAAAATGGGTTTAATATGACTAGGAGAACGCATTATGAATCAAAACAAATAATGAAATGATGGAACAAATCATAAATTAACGGAGCGAAATAATGGAACAAATTATGACTTAGGTGGAACAATTAATGAAGTAACGAAATAACTTAAACAAAACAAATGGAGTCAAACAAAACGAATTATGAATGAAACAAAACAAATCTAAACCAAGCTATGCATTAAATAAATTATGAATTTAAACGAAGCTCTGCACTAAACAAATTATGAATATAAACCAATCAAACAAAACAAAGTAACAAAATTTTATCTTTTTCTTTCCTTCTATTCTTTCTTTGTTTTTTTCTTGTTTGCGTTTTTTCTTTCTTTTCCTACTCTGTTTTTTCTGTTTTTTTTTTTTTTACTTTCCCCAAAGTCAGATCGAGGCCCAGCATGGAAATGAACAAATAATAAATAAATAAAAACAAAATAAAATAGGTTGCATTTCGGGCCGGTCGGGCCTCAATGCAGTACGGCCAGGCTCAAATGGAGCCGGCCAGGTTGCAATGGCGGCAGAGGGCAATTCGGTAAAATTGTAACCCGTGGCTGTTTAAAACAAAACCTAACCCCTTTTTTGTCCACATGTTAGGTCGAAAAACCCTCCCCTCTCTCTCTAACCTTCCCTTCTCTCTAGATTTGCCCTCTTCTTGAGTTACCCAACAACTCTAGTGATTTTTCTTTGTAAAACCCTTTCCATCCTCTATATTTTGAACCGAACAAAACTTGATTTGGTTGAGTTTTGAGTTTTCTCTTGATTTTTCTTATATTCTCACACATTTACCCACACTTTTCCCCTCTCCCCCTTTGATTCCTCTCTCTCTCTCTCTCTTTGTTTTCTCTTTCCTAGGGTTTAGACCTTCACTCAAAGTCATTCACTCGCTCACTTTTTCTTCATTTTTCTCACTATGGTTAGTGATGAGGTTCCCATCCCCGAGCCCGTTGTGGGTATTGGTGCCATCATAGGTATAGATACAGAGGCTGAGGATGTTCCTGAGCCTGTGTTGGCTCCCCTTATCGATAGACCATTTGATGCGGCCATCTACTAGCCATGTACACATGATTTGACCCCTGGCAGTATCCTGCGCTTTGAGGGTCTTATCCCTGGGATTGAAGAGGACATTCTGCTACAAGAGTCCACGGAGAATTTGTCCACCAATGCCTCCATGGTAAGCATTATTTCCTTTGCTCGTTGTTTTTGTGCATAGTTTGAATCTTGTAAACAAATTATCCTTTAATATAATGCATACATTGATAACATTCCCAACTTACAGGTGATATCCAGAAGGATCGGTGGCTATGGATCCATTGTCGATCCCCAGCACTGGTACGAGCGGCTTCTTGCAGAGGTCCGCACTTTGGTCGACACTGCCGGCTTTGGGCCTTTCTACTCAGGATTAGTACAGATACGAACCGAGCCACTACTCTATGGGGTCCTAGTGGAGAGATGGTGGGACACCATAGACTCGTTCCGCTTCTCATCGGTCGGGGAGCTGACCCTGACCCCATATGACCTCTCGATGCTCACCGGCCTACGAGTTGGGGTTGGCGGCCCGATCCCTTTTGATCCTGACATGGCGCAGTGGAAAACTGCACAGCTTCATCTTTTTACTCAGACGCTGCCGGTCCCGGGATGGTGAGGTACAGTTGGTTCTTGGAGCACTTTACTGACCTTTAACCAATTACTCCAAAGGAGGTCGCCCAGTGCACCTGTGGCTTCGTCGTGTATCTCTTCGGTACTACCCTGTTTGCGAACAAGGAAAATACCATGGGGCTATATCTCTTGGGCACACTGGTACATCTACCACAAATGGTAGGATATGACTGGGGTGGTGTCGGTCTGGCCACTCTGTACTTTTATATGAGCTCTGTTTCTTGCTGAAAGGCGAATTCACTCGGCGGTTACTAGAGAGTCTGGGAGGTACATCTCATACTTACTGTTCTGTTTAGCTTATTTTCTGCTTTTGCTTTGTATTTCCTATTTGCATATGTTCATCTGCTTTGCTTATTCACTTGCATTTCTCTTTTTGCAGCTATGGGTTTACACATATTTCACTTCCCTTACTCCAGTCCTGGTGAGGCCAATTGAGTTGTCAATACCCCGCTCCCGGTACTACAACTCTTGATTCGAGTGACGCCGGCTTGTAAACCGTGACTTCTCTTATTTCCACCGCTTCTTCGACACCGTCATCGCAGTTAGGGTACTATTTCTACACTGCTATTTCCATACTATTGTTTCTATACTCTTTAGCCCCCAATATCTGACATTTTGCTTGCATATTCTGTTCACAGGGTTGACTAGCACCCTTGGTAGGCATCTCTCGGGTAGTGAGAATGATCTACGTTGCTGCATAGCATGCCTCTACTATGTGGATTTTGTTTGAGGGCCCTTTCGGTAAGGCCTATTACTTGAGAGAGAGGTTCATTTGTTAGACTCAAGGTGTAGTCGATCCTGACATTCTGCATCTCCCCCCTCTAGGCATAGGGGTAGTTGACGACCTCCATAACGGGCCCCAGATCGACTTCCTTATGTTCGGGGAGGATGGTGACTGGCACCACGAGCTCGACGACTTCATGGCCTTCTTACAAACTCGGGTGATGGCCCTCTCTTACCAAAGGTGTGGTCCGTGTCCTTCCTGAGGCTACTGCTGCTATTGCCAGAGATGTTCCTACCGCCACTCCCATTCCCGGGCCTCCTGTGATTCCTACTAAGGTTGTATACATGTGACCAGATGGGGTGATCAAGTAGATCCCCCTTGAGCACATTGAGGGGAGGGACCACATATTGGTGCTTGCTCCCAGCATTAAGCAGGTGCACACTTCTCTTATTTCTGCCCACTGTTCTGCCCACTATGCTTTATTACTATCAGTCCACCATGCTCTATTACTTTGTTTCATATTCTCAAATTTCTCCTCTTTTGCAGGTGCCTGCGAGGTACGTGGATGATCTCCTCCAGACAATTGATAGACTGCTTCTGATAATGTGGAGGAGGCACACTGCTCTAGTCACCTACGGCATCGAGGTACACTTTGTCCCTAATTTACTATCCTTACAATCTTGCTCATAATTCTGTTGGTCTTTTCTGATATTTGCTTCATATTCCGATATATGTTAATGATATTTCTATATAGACACCCCATTTTTGACTACCCTTAAGACTTGGGCGCCACTGATTGATCACTTAATGATAAGTTGCGCTATGCAAATGTTTGATTTCCTCAGGAAGAAGAGCTTCTAAATCCCAACCTTACACCCCAGTTTGGACCCAACACTATTTTGGACAAAAACGTTTTTTAGACCTTAAAACCCTCTCTTTCAAAATATTTTTGAAAATGTTTCGACGATGTTTCGAGACTCGCATTTCGTTAAATGTTGCACTTTTTAGTAAAACGAGAAAGGACAAAGTGGAGATAAATGGAAGAGAGGTGAACTCTTTGAAAAACTTTTAAAAACATCTTATTTAGAGGTTTGGAGTTGAAGAAAATAAGAGGAGAGGGAAGAAACCTAGTTGGGGAAGAAGTTAGGCATCAAACAGTTGAGGGAGAACTAAGCAACCTTCACTGAAATAGGCATATCTCTTTGCACACTTAGAATTTAGATGTGAGGCTACCACCATTGGAAAGTAGACTTCTGGGGTTTCAATTTAGACTCAACAATGACCTAAAACCAAGTTCGGATAAAGTCGATATGCCCATTTGAAGTCGGGCCTAGAACCATGGTCGGTAGGTGGCCAGCCGCCACTATTTATGGACGGTAAGCCACCATATTTTGCCTGCCGGCCACCAATGTAAAACCCAAATATTTTCTCCAGCTATTTCCACACTGCTCCAACTATTTTTGAATAGATATTTTTGACCTCAGGCTTATGTTTTCTGTATAAACAAGACCTTTCTTCTTGCTTTCAAGGTCAAAAAAACTTTGGGAGCAAAAATATCATCTCTCTACAATTTTCTCTCTCTACAATTCTCTCTCTCTTACAACTTGCAAAGCTTATGCCCAAACACTCTAAACCAAACCTCAAGAACTTCTTGTTGAGATGATTTGAGCTTAAACTTGAGCTCTTGAAGCACTTGAGAGTGTGAAATTGGTGGTTTATGACTTAAGGGTTCATTCATCTCCAAGAGGTATATGAGCCAGCACTAGTTGCACCTGTAAGACCTCCTCCAGCTAGAAAACGGAGACGGGGCCTAATGACAGGCAGCGGATGGGCTGACTGGGGAAGAGGCAGAGCGAGATAGAACTGACCTTCTGAGGAGTCTTTTGATGAGTACACGACCCTTGAGGATGAGGGGGATGAGGGGGATGAGGTCGACATCCAGTCCAGCAGTCCTAGTGATGACAACAACGTACCTCTTCTGCAGCCGACGAGGAAGATGGCGAGGATGAGTTGATTTTTCTTTTCTTTTCTTTTGCTTTGTAGTTAGGAACTAGCTTCAGATAAACCCTTTTGTTTTACTTTTGAACACTTTTCTTTTGTTTTTATTGTTTTGTAAAATGATGATCGGGGTTAGACCCGCCAGTTTATGGAAAGAATATATTTTTTTTGATGATTCCTCTTGCATAACATGACATGTGATCGATGGCGTAACCTCTACATGATAATCCTGTAAAAGATTTTTAACTGTGAATACTTGTCCTTGAATTCATTCTTGAATTGGATAACAACCTACAACCAAACAAAATGTAAAATACAACTCGATAATAGGAAAGCACAATGAAAACAACTCGAAAATACTAAAAAAACACTTGATACAAACAAAATAAGACTCAAAACATAGCCGTAGTATACCAAGACAAAAGCCATCCTTTTCTGTAACTACTCTGATCTGGGCCATCATTTAGACCAGGCCGGGTCCAAATAGACACGGCCGGGCCTAAAGGTGATGTCGGTCAATGCAATCCAGCTGTCATTGTGACGCCCCAAATTTTTGGAACATCAAGGGAAATTAAATAAACAAAATGACTTAATAAACTAAAAAGTTGACATCTTAATAGGGCATTCCAACTCTCGTACATAACCAAAGGTTCAAATAATATTAAATAAAAACTTAAAATTATCCAAATACAACATCAAATGAAATTATAAGGTCCTTAATAGCTAATATATAAGATAATAAAGTTATTCGACTTTAGTCATGATTTCAAGTCAGCCAAGGCTCTACGTTAGCGTCAACTCCATTTCAGCTTCAATTATTTCCTCGCCAAAACCTGGCATAAAACGCCAGGGCAACAAAAATATATGTCATGAGTTTTGCAACACAGTAAGAAAACATAACCGATCTACCATTCTTTTTAAGAGAAAAATAATGAGATTATAAACATGAGATAACAATATAATTGTAAGCATAAATTACAACCATTAAAATAATTTCAATAATTTTAATAAATTAGGTGACACTCGAAATCTCACCAAAGAGATTGAACTTACCAACCACTAAGCATGGCAACGGTTAATTTGAAACCCTCCATTGGTCAAATATTTAAGTGTTACCAACCGTAACTACCAAGGATGCCCATGTCCGGAGTTATATACCCAAGTAGTGGCATCCATGGTTTGCCCCAAGGAAATGGTTTGCCAGGGGTACGTAACCTCCCTGTGTGCCACCGGCACATCCACCCTTAATCCAAAACCGAATACCGAAAAGGGTTCAAATAAGTCCCGTGCCATCTTAGAGTTTCGCAACACAATTTACGTGAGAATTCTCAAAACTAGGGCTCGCCCTGAACAACCGGTATTGACCGTCAACCCTTAATTTCGTACACTCTTTAAAACCAAAACTCACCCTGAACAACTGGTATTAACCGTCAATTGTTAACTTTGTGTATGCCGTTAATAATTTCAATTAATTTTGATATTAATCACAAATAATTTCAATTTTTTAATCACAAATAATGTTATACCAACTCATTAAAGTTTTCAACATAAAATATTACACATGTCATACAATAATAAATAAATGTACAGAATTTAAATAAACAATTTATTTAAACCATGGTATGAAATAATAATTTAGATACAAAGAAAATAAACCATAGTTACACATATGCATGGATTTTTAATTTACAAGATTAGACTACCGCAATATATATTAAATAAACCATAATACACCCATACATGGATTAGTAATTTACAATATTTGATGAATTAGACCAACACAATAACTGATTTTTATCCAAATAAATAATTGAAGTGATGATCTTAAGCCTGTCCATAAATTGTCAGGTTATACCTTAGGTAATAAAAATTATTAATAAATTATTTATACAGTTCTAAAATTCGTGAAAATGTACAGAATATTTAATAAATATGTTTGGGTCATTTTTCAGAAAGAATTTTCCAAAAATAAGTTATAAATAATTCTGTAAAATTTCCAGAAATTTTATGACACTGATTTATCACATTTTCTTAAATTAATTCCATACTTAAATTCATAAATCAATTCCATAATCTAAAAATTTATTATGAAACTAGACTACTCAATTTTCATATTTTAGTTAGAAATTACCAGATTTGGCATAACATAGAATTTTTAATAAATTTTCAAACATATAGTAAAATCTGTCTTATAGTTTCAGATTTAATTAAAAATTTGTATAAATTCGTACAAAGCTCAATAATTGTTGCAAAAATTCCTGGATGAACTAGACATCATTCTCAACAACTTTGTAGAGGAAATCATCTCAAAATTTTGAGCATAAAATTGTTTAAAAATTCGTACAAGTTTCTGGCAAATTGAAGAGTTATATAATCAAACCAAATAAAATCTTTAATCATCTCTTTAATGGCACAAACTACACATGCAAGTCTAATTCCAAGATTATATCATGATTTTAAGGCTACTAATAAAAAAAATAACCTTCAAATATTTAACATACAAATCACAAATTTACATACAACTATAAACAAAATTTTATCTAAATTTTTAGCTATTTTAACATATGAACACAAATCTAAATATTTAACAATTAAAAAGAATGAGAGGGTTATGAGAGTTTTCTTACTATGTTAGGTTGCTAACGATTTATCGTCCGAATTTGATTTATGATTCTTATCGTAAGATATGACCGTCCCGACTCCATGATCGTCTTGCTGAAATTTCACATCAATCGGACGCGATCTCACCGTTGATCTGCCATTGGAACGGCCCCATCCGCTTCTTTAATTTCAGTTTTCCCTCATGTGTACCAGTTTTACGCCAAAAAGAGGGGACTGGTAGAGTACCAACAGTCCCAAATAAGGAACTTGAAGAACGCAACTAGAACGAGCGGATGACTCGATGCTTGGTTGTTCAGTCTGGCCCCCTAAGTCGGCTGAAGCATCCTCGGTGGATTCCTCGTCTACCAAATGTTGTTCAACGGGTTTCTTCTCGGCCTTTTCTTTGACCGGCCTGCAGCTTTCTCGCTGGCGAGGGCCAGCACAACCCCTTTCTCCTGCTCGGCAGGATGTTTCGAAGTGCCCCCTGCTGCCTCTGGCGGTTGAGGGTCGCTCGGTTCGCCCGTGATCATCGACTTTATAGCCTGGATTTTGGCCATTTTTTGTTCGGCTGTCAAGGGTACGAGTTTTATCGGTGGAAGGCTGGGATCTGGTTCTGAAGAAGGTGCACACAGGAAGTCGGTCACCCTGCTCTTGCACGGCCCTGTGTAGCGGTAGCTCAGTTCGAAGCCGAGCAGCTTGGGTGATTCTCGCTCCTCGGCCGGATGATGCAACGCAACCCTTATGGCCTCCTGGTTTGCGCGGGAGTAATCCTCTGCCAAGAGTTTATTGTCTGTAACATGAAGGCAACTGTTAGACCGGCACCCGAACAAACAGTTGGTGTTTTGCTCAACTTGTCCTAGGGCCGAGCTAACATTGCTCACCCGTAACTTATCGAAATACAAGCCCGACCGAGATATGGAAAGAGACCAGAATGAACCGACCGGTACCTTGGAGTTGAGGAGCTCCCAAAACCCATCTGACTGCTGGAAGTTGTTTATTGGCGAGATGTGGAAGCTCTTCGTCGACGGGGCCTCCAATAGACATGGCGCCGGGCTGGGTATCGTGCTGACTTCCTTGGATGGGCTGGTTATCGAGCAAGCAATTACGCTCGGCTTCTCGCCGTCCAACAATGAGACGAAATATAAGGCCTTACTTGCTAGATTGAGAAGTGCATTAAGAATGAAAGTGTCGGCCCTTATGGTATTTAGCGACTCCAAGCTGGTGGTCAATCAGGTCTCTGGGGAGTATGAAGCCAGGGATAAAAGAATGGCCAAATATCAGGCGCTGGTACATGCAAAAATCAAAAAGTTCACCACGATAAGAGTAGAACAAATCAACCGCGAAAAAAACAACACAGCGGACGAACTGGCCGGCCTTGCATCCACGTGAACAACTTTCCCCAATCCTTTGATAATAGAATTCCTACCTCGGCCGAGCATTGAGGAACCAGAAGTGTCTGAAGTACTCTGCGCTGACTTGGGACCATCCTGGATGGACCCAGTCGTTGCCTTCCTGAATGATGGAATTTTGCCCACGGAAAAGAAGGAGGCCAATAAGGTCAGGGCCAAATCAGAGCGGTTTTGGCTCTCTCCATTAGGCGCTTTGTACAAGAAGCCTTTCACTGGCCCATACTTGAAATGCGTTCACCCAAGCAAGGTTGAAGCTTTCCTTTTCGAGATTCATGAGGGCATCTGTATAAGCCATATCGAGGGCAGGTCTTTGGCTTTCCGAGCAATTTCTCAAGGCTATTGGTGGCCGTGTATGCAGGTGGACGCGCAGAAAGGCTTGCATGTGTAGTTTATACCATTAAAGAGAGGATTGAAGATTTTATTTGGCTCTTAAATCTGCTAGAATATTTGTCTGAATTTTTAGACAATTTTATACTCTAAATTTGACAATAATTTCTTCTAAAAAGTTGTTGAGAATGATGTCTAGTTCATCCAGAAATATTTTCAACAATTATTGAGCTCTTTACGAATTTATACAAATTTTTAATTAAATTTGAAACTATAAGACAGATTTTACTATATGTTTGAAAATTTATTAAAAATTCTATATTATGCCAAATCTGGTAATTTCTAACTAAAAAATGAAATTTGAGAAGTCTAGTTTCATAATAAATTTTTATATTATGGAGTTGATCTGTGAATTTAAGTATGAAATTAATTTAAGAAAATGTGATAAATCTGTGTCATAAAATTTCTGAAAATTTTACAGAATTATTTATAACTTTATTTTTGGGAAATTCTTTCTGAAAAATGACCTAAGCATCTTTATTGAATATTCTGGACATTTTCATGAATTTTAGAATTGTATAAATAATTTATTTATAATTTTTATTACCTAAGGTGTAACCTGAAAATTTTTGGACAGGTTTAAGATCATTACTTCAATTAATTAATTGGATAAAAATTAATTATTGTGTTGGTCTAATTCATTAAATATTGTAAATTAGTAATTCATGTATGGGTGTATTGCGGTTTATTTAATATTGTGCTAGTTTAATCTTGTAAATTAAAAATCCGTGCATGTATGTGATTATGATTTATTTATTTTTATATCCAAATTACCATTTCATACCATGGTTTAAATAAATTGTTTATTTAAATTTTGTACATTGAATTATTATTATGTGACATGTGTAATATTTTATATTGGGAATTTTAATAAGCTGGTATAACATTATTGGTTATTAAAATTTGAATTATTTGTGATTAATGTAAAAACTAACTAAAATGATTAACGGTATATATAAAGTTAACAATTGAGGGCTAATACCGGTTGTTCAAGATGAGTCATGGTTTTTGAGAATTCTTATATAAATTGTGTCGCGAAACTCTAAGATGGCACGGGACTTATTTGAACCCTTATCGCTATTTGATTTTGGAATAACGGTAGATGTGCTGGTGGCACACAAGGAAGTTATGTACCCCTGGCAGATCGTTCCCTTGGAGCAGACCATGAATGCCACGGTTTGGGTATATAACTCCGGGCGTGGGCATCTTTGGTAGTTCTTGAATATTTGACCAATGGAGGGTTTCCAAATTAACCGTGACCATGGCTTAGTGGTTGGTAAGAAAATCTCTTTGGTAAGATTTTGAGTGTCACCTAAACTAATACAATTGTTGAAATTATTTTAAATTGTTGTTATATCATCATGCTATTAATTCCGTCATTTTCTCTTAATTGTCATGATTATTATATGATTATTTTCTCTTAAAAAGAATGGCATGTTGGTTATGTTTTCATACTGTGCTGCAAAACTCATGACATATATTTTGTTGCCTTGGCATTTTATGCCAGATTATGACAAGGAAGGGACTGAAGCCGAAATTGGGGCCACTGTTAATATAGAACCGTAGCTAACTTGAAAATAAGAATATAGCAAAATAAAATTTTATTATCTTTTGTTTTAGTAATTACGAATGTTATAAAGCCGTTGTAATATTGTATGCGAACTCGTAATTTTGTTTTGTTGTTAAACTTTGATTATGTGAGAATTTAATTTCCCTAATTAGTTGTTAAAAATTTATTTAGCAAGTTATTTGTTATTTAAATTTTATAATGTTCCAAAAAAATTTGGGGCGTTACAGTTTGGTATTAGAGCCTAGATTTGAACCTTTGGGCTATGGGTAGCAATTATATTTTTTTACGAAAACTTTACGTTAACTTGTAATTTTCAGTGACTTAACTAAGTTAGAACCTTTTAATTGTAGGATGCTAAGGTCATTAGATATTAACTCTAATAATGAAAGTTCGGTGGGAAACTATGACATAGAACCTGACCCAAGCGAAGAAGCGGGGTCGCCTGTAGAAGACTATGAGCCTGAGTCTGACCCTGAAGAAATTGCACCAATAGAAGACTACGAACCTAAGCCTAAGCCTGAACCTGAACCCGAAGAGATTGCACCAGTGTACAACCCACTGGAGATAATTGTGATTGAGTCAGACACTGAAGAGGAGTTTATAGAGGGCAATACGGATGAGAGCATTGGAGATATAGGAGCCGTGTTTGAGAATTGGGATGTTCGAAATGGGCTGCAGATTGGCTCATTTGTATATGTTAGAATTTATCCCCTAGGAGGTTGTGCTTGGAAATCTGAGAGTTAGGTGGGTACCTACATTGGACCTGTCCAAATTCTAAGGCAAGAGACACCCTGGTTATATCAGCTAGGTCCTTTCCTAGATGGTTTCACCGATAGAATGGGTAACCTCTTTGACATTTGGAGCGTTTAGTATATCATGCCCGACCCAAACAGAATTGTGAAGAGAGATGGGTCAGTGAACTTCAAGGATTGGAGGATCTATTGGGAAAAGCCGGTGCAGCTGCTAGGGCATTGTGTGCAGGAAACTGTTGTCTTCGTGAGGGTGCTATGGCGATTCATGGGGCTTTTCCGAGCCACACGGGAGCCGGAAGCCCTTGTGAGAAGAGACTTTCCTTGGTTGTTTTAGAGGTCTTAAGGGAATTACAAATTATGCTAACTGATTGTTTTGTATGCTTATATGTAAATGTGGGGAAGTGGTTTGGAAATACTCTTCAGGATCCTAGAAAACGCTCGTGATCCTCTTCTGGTCACCTGAAAAGAATAAACACTCCGGTTAAGGGTGCCGGAATTAGCACTCCGACGGGCAAGTTAGTATCTACACTCGAGGAAGCTTGTATTCTAAGTTTAAGCACAATAATTCTTACATACCTCTTTCTAGCTGATGTTTCTCCTATTTATATCTTTTCTTCTTTGGGCCTCAGGATTAGATCCCTTTCCCACCTCGTATTCGGCACTTTTCATGACTATCCGATCTTCACTCGGCCCCTTGCTCAATTGGTCATTTGGCCGAGTAGGGTTGGATTTGAGCTTTCGGGCCCATTGCTGAGTGCTTCGGAATATTGACTCTCCCAGGTTTGATTATCCGGAATCTCTATGACTCCCAATAATCGGCCCCCACAATTGCCCCCCAAGCACTCCACTATCGACAGTTGGTTGGACTGTTTGGCTTTGAACTCGAAGGGTCAGAGCCGAAATTCGGCGACTGACCGTTTTCCAACGCAAATGTCTGTACACACACTTCTCGGTTATCATTTCAACTTCTCGCTTCTTCACATACTTTTATTTATCGTGGTTTAAAAT